CTACACATAGGCAAAGTTATATCGAAATCCGTGACATTCATTGAGCACGATGTGTCGTGGCTTTCGTGCATTGACTCCTAGGGGGGGGGGGAGCCGCAAAGCCTCGATTTAAAACTCACACTCACTATTTTCTTCGAAAATATACGTGAATTTCACAAAATCGTAAAACATGGTTGTTTTTTTTCAGAAAAATATCAGTTCTTGATATTTGTATTGTTTTGTCTCTATGATTAAGAACCATCTTAAAACGTTTAATAGTTAGACAACCGATCGACAACGAACTATTGTCATAAATATATCGGCAGAAGTCTACTCTTGACGAATCTGCCATTTCAGTCACAAACAGTCAAACTTTCATAGAACTTTTTATGAGAGGCTTTCATAAAATCTATATTACTGATGTTCAGCGTGTGTCTGTTTCTCTGTGCCGGGTTAAAGATTAAAGATCCTAGGATTTTCGAGAACATTCTGGATGTTTCTGGAACTTTCGCTGAGAATCCTAGGGATAGGTTAAAGGTTAAAGGTTAAAAGTCAAAGGTCAAAGGTCAAATAAGGCTATAAGGGGAAGACGCCAAGGGCTACTGGCGACTCATAGATCCTCATGGGCTATTATGTGAAGGTGCTCATAGGTCCACAAGAGCTGTTATATGAGAAGAAGAAGAAGAATACTCCTGCCTTGCGGCTACCTTTCAGTATATGGGGTGCTGTCCAAGGACAGTTTCAGAAGCCCGATGTTTTTTCTGCAACTATTACTAGTTCCAGCTCTGGACAGAAGGCTGGCCTGACTCAGAGTTCTTCTCGCTTAATCGATTAAGCTTCCCATACATACTGATTAACCACATACGAGCCATAAAAGCTTTTTGTGTATGTCGACAACGTAGTCAGCTTGTTATCGGATGAGTGGTTCGAGACTACACAGTCGTTAGTGACTTGTCCAAGGTCATTCTATGTATGATGGTGCCGAGGTTCGGACACACTATCTTGTGGATATGAGTCGAACATCTTTACCATTCAGCCATAGCGGCTCCTGTTATATGAGAGTACTCATAGGCTCACAAGGAGTATTATATGAAGGTATCCATAGGCTCTCAAGAGCTATTATATAGTAGCACTCACAGGCCCTCAAAGGCTATAAAGCTACAAAGGGGTAGGGGATAAGGAAATAAGGCTA